TCGAAATTTGCCGAAGATTGGGATCGTGCGAATCGCGAATGCCGTCGAGTTCCTCGTCTCCTCAGCTCATTTTTCGCGGTAGTCAGTTGAATCGATCGATCCGACGAATCGCAAAAACGAACGAAACGAAGGGTCGCGGCGGTTAATCGCCGCAGCCGCCAAGACATCGACAGGGATGGTCGCGAGAGCACTTTAACGAGACCGGCCTTTCTCGTGAGAGCTCTCTCGTCTCATATATGTTTGCCGCTATTATGATGCAGGAGAGTATTTTTCTGGGAAGTAATTTCGAGGGCTAACTCGTCGCATCGCTTTCTCTCGGGTCTTCGCGAAATTGAGCCGCGCTTTTGCGGCAGATCCGCGATCAAATTGTATTCCGCGTTATTACACCTTTTTTTATGCGCGCGCGCGGCCTCCTCGCATCTTCGTGCCCGGTATCGATATCGCCGTGACCGGGCCCGGCCGTTCGCGGTCGCAAGAAGTATGCATGATGGCCGGTAACGTTCAATCATACTCGCGGAAGATGCCCAGCTTTTACGAGCAGCACGAGTTACGGCGACGAGGAAACTTTCGTTTGCGTTGTAACCATCGATTACCGCGAGAGAGCGGAAAATCGAGCCGCGTTCTTTGCGATATCACGTTCGAGTGTACCGCGGGCTCTCTGTCACGTCAATGTGGAGCATCACTGTACGTCAGTCGCTTCGCGTGACTTTCGCGATCACATGTCGTTAACTTGAAAAGGGGGTTGTCGATTTCGTGCACGACTCGGAATATATTCATTGTTTCTCTATTTGTAGAAGAGATGCGCAATAAATGGTAGATATAATATGCCACGCGTTTTAACGAGACGTTAATGGTAGTGAAAGCGACGTTAGCTAATGTTTGGTAAAGTCTTTGAAGAATGTACGAAGCGCGGCTTCAGCGGAAGAGGTATTGTTCCGTAACATAGTGCAGGTGCGCTGAAATAAGCTTAATGGACACGCAGCTGCATGCATACACTGCAGCTTATAGCGGCAGTAATGCAGTTAAATTCGTACACGTTCGCGAGAGAAACCGGATAGGCGTAAATTGGATGACCACCGAGACAACGTTACGAGAACACACGGGATGTTCTCTCTATCGGATAGTCGTAAGTTCTTTGATCAGTTTAGAGTCTCTTTGGTATTGAAATATCTTCATTTCCTCGCACTTAAATATCTAACTAATTGTAAGCCTCAAATTGCAATTCCACTAAAAGAAGTGAAATTATAAACCACCGACAAGGCGTCTGCAAACGTAAAATTTTAACGGTTAAATAAAGATTCTGGATAAAGTAAAAATTAAAATTTTTGAAGAAAGAACGAGTCTTTGTGCGCTCAAAAGCTCGTCTCGTGTGAGAATCTCAGTAACTTACAGTTGTTACTTTGTACGCGAAGAATTATTGACGCGTCGAGTAAAAATTTTTATTCCGGAAAACTTAACTATCTCACTTGTTAATGAATCTATAAATAAAGTGGAGATACAGAGAGAAGAGATAAGAACGGGCTGTCATGATAAAAATAGAAATGCCAGCTGAGATCAGATGAGAAAGCACGTAAGGTACATTGAGCTAGGGATATTATAATCCTTGCAGAGAGAAATGCATGGGGGAAATAATTACTAGAAAATTATGTCGGTAACTTCTAACGATTCAATTACTAAACTCTGGTAATTATTTAGTGCTTTTGTCGTTGCCAGCTAGCGCATTTTCTGTAAGGAAACGCTTATGTAAATGTATATTCTATGGTGTTGCAGCGAAAAGTTCTAATTGGAAATTTAATATTTTATGGACGCAATTATCGTTCCCGTTACGTCAATTATCTCGCGTGGAAAATGTCATAGGCAGCTCCTCGGAGGAGAAAAAGGAGAAAGATGGGGGGGAAAAAAATTTGCTTCTCGGATGCTGTGTGGCGGCTTAATTTTATCAGACGCCTGTTTCCAGCATCGTGTCAGCGACCCCCCTCTCTCCCGTTCTTTTTCTCTCCGTGAGGCTCTTTTTCTCTCAGCTCGAGACGCATTCCTAGTAAAAATAAACGAGTTCCTCCGGCGTGGTTTCTGCAATCGCGAGAGAAGGGAACCTCAGCCGCCGCCACCGTCGTCGTCGCCACCGCCGCCTCCGTCGCCGTCGTCGTCGTCGTCGTCGTTGTGCTTTCATTGTATGCAATACACCGGCTTCAGGATGCATCCAATATACGCGACTGCGAAAGAAAGACGAATAACGAAGATATCAACACGAGCAAAGTCTCGTGTAAAGATCATCATAGTAATCATAATTCTTTTTCTGATTCTGCGCGACTGACATTAAGGGAAACATTTAAAATATCTGGACTTTTTAAGAAAACTATTAAGATTCGTATTGAAGACAGTACGGTATATTGGTTGATGATCCTTCAGTAATTTCGTTTTTATTTCCGACAGAAATTACGTATCTCTGTTTCATTGTTCAATATAATAATTGCTGGTGTCTTTTCTCTATTTTTACTTTGCGGATAGAATGACTACTCTCAAAGCTAAGTTATGAGTGAAAGCTTTATATCTAATAACAATGTCAATAACAGCGATGGTTTCGTCAGACGCAAAGTAATAGATTCAAAGGGTGGTTCAATACCAACTCTCTCGATTTCATCTCTGTTTCTCTTTGCCCTCCTCTTCACGATGGTCTGTATACGCGGCAATGGTACAAATATGAATTAAGTTCTCGAATTGCAGCTGAAACGCAAGCAATAACTGTCAACCGGTCATGCTGTGAGAGCACAAGCTCTATGACATTTTCCTGAAGGAGCAATTAAAGTACAACGATTTAATTTATGAATATTGAAAAGATCAAAAATAGAAACAGCGTCCATACGCGCGTTTGGCATAAGTGAAACGTGATAATTAGAGTTTACTTTCTGATTGTATGTTTCTTAATTGAAAAAAAAAAGTAAATTATTGTAGACCGGAGTTACTTTGATCACACATAAGGCAGCGATCGCTCCTGATGGGATTCACTACCGACGTTTTGTGCGCCAACTCTCTCCTTCCTGAAAGCGACAGCGCGTCGCTCCGAGCAATCTCTTGTAGTAAATTAACAGGCAAGAAGGAAATTGAGTGTATAATTAGCTGCAATTTAATTCAATCCGAAGGGCTTTCTTCCAAATTGAGTTAAATATACATTTAGCGTAAAATAAGGAATTACATATTATGAAGCTGTCCCGCACAATCTCGTAACGCATAATCTTCATTTTATAAATGGCTTTAGAATATTCATTACTCTCGGTGTTTACGATCATTGTTACGTTTCTTTTCTCTCCTTTTTTTATTTCTCTTCCTGCTCTTTTTTGTGCGCACGGTGATAACTGGAAAATGCAGACGAGCGCATTGCATAATGCTGACGAATTGCATAATAATTTGAATTGCATCGCGAGAAATTCTGCGTTTTATGCGAGCGCTTTTGTTCGTTAATTAAAAACGATATACTCCAATATTCTCATTGTCGATCTACCACTCGCACGAAGAACGCCGTGCGTGTGTTCTAAGAGCGAGGGCTCTAAGAGCGAGGGCTCTAAGAGCGAGAACCAAAAAGAAAAGAAAGAAGCAATCGTCGCTCGTGCGCGATCGTGCGTTACAGGAAAGTATGCAAAAATAAGAAGCAGTTTTTAACTTTATTTTCAACTTCGAGATTTTCCATCGCATCTTCCTTAAAAAGCGCCATTACTAAAGTTGTGCGTTCTTTTGCTGCGCGAGTTCTAACAAAAAAAAAACGAGAAACGACGTAAAAGCGAAGTTCTGTATAAATTCGTTACACGAACGCGATGCTCGTGAGAAAAATCGTTCGCAAATGTCCTGAATAGGGTGGCCGAGTCCGATAATGGAACGTATGCTGTGGCATTCGAAATTCAATTTTTTTAAGTTAGTTTTCCAAGACACGTCTTACAACTAGCACGGTTCGCGTTTGACTTTCGGAAACACTTTCCAGATTTGAACAGGAGATCTCTTTGTGCGAAATAATGTCACGTTACTTAGACTACAGTCAAGAATGATTTTGCTAGAAGCAAAGATGTGATTGCGAATACACGCAATCGTATTTTATTCACAATCTGCTCGCCTTGTGATTCAAACCGTCCGCTTTGCGATAAAACGAATGCAAAATGTTTGTTTATTTTGAGTAAACAATGTGTAGCAAATCCATTAAAATGCACATCAAATTTCTTTTTATTAAAATAAAAAAAAACGACGTTCATGCCTCGAATGGCTCTATTGCGTCGGCATACGCCTAGCAAACTTATAAAAAATCATATTTAAATTTTGTGCCAACATTTTGTACGTGTCCGTGTGTGCGTAAAACAATATATACATAATTTAAAATTGCAGCTAAGTTGCCATATACGAAGTTAGTAACACATTCAAAACTTCTTATTCCTTGGTCATTTAGGTTACTAGCAAAAAATATTAAATCGGAATACTATTAAATACAATAGAGAGAATACAATGGAGAGAAATACAATAGACAGAACACAAAAGAATACAATAAAATAGCAATATTTTAGGAATTTAAATCTTAAAAATTGAACAAAGCACCCGGGAAAAAAAGTTTAGATATAATTGTGTATAATGTTGCAGATATAGTTATACATGGATTCTGATCTAATCACATATAAATAGATAAAATTATATTTATACGTAATTTGATATAATTTTGTATAATTTAATCTACATTTTTTCCCGGGCAATTAAATGAAAGCTTGAATATTAATTATCATTTTATATATCAAAGTTTTCAAGTGCAACGTGTAGATATTAGACAGAAATATTTCGAAACTCAATCACAAATATTTATTCACACGTGCTTGTGACAAATCTTTCGCGCGACGGATTCTTAAATAACAACTGCACCAGAAGTTATTACTATATGAACAATCTGTATCGTCCGTAACTCCATTCGCCGCAAATTCGCCACGCAAAACGCAACAGATCATATCGAAAGTTGCTGAAGCTCTACTCACCTCGTAGAAGTAAAACGAGTCAATCTGCTCCGTCGTATTGACGTCCGGCAGCGATGTGACGTTGATGTAATCCAAGGGATAGAGCTCGTCGGTGACGTTCTCCAATTCTCCGGCGCGCTCCCGATCGAAACCGGCCGTCAGATTCCAATCGTCGATCAGCGCTTGGTTCGCGTCCCCGGACATGGTCGTTCCCATTGACAATATCCACACGATCTCTGCCGCTCAGGTTTTCGCTCCGTGTACTGTCCGCGAAAGGGTCATGTCGCCGGTTAGATGTTGGCCGGCTTCGTGTTTAAGGAGACACTCTCGCAATGATTGCAATTTGTCTTCCGTTAGTTAGCCAGGGACACGAAGCACTTAGGCGAGTACAGGGTGGTCCGCAAAGTCCCGTTTCTGATCTTCCGCGACTCACTCGATGCGCTAGGAATATTTGAAGGAACAATTGAACGATTCAGTCCGTACACGTTCGAAACGGGAAGAGATACGTGTGTGTTCCCGCGCGAAAACCATCGCTGCGCGAAATTTAGCATTGCTTGTTTACAGCTGCATTCACTGGTATCGAGTTCTTAAGTTCTAAAAGAGAACAGTTTGCTTCTTTCTGCATGAGGTCCAGTGGCCGTCCAAGTGAGCCCAATTATTTGCCTAATGTAAAGAAATTGCATTCGATAATAAAAGGTTCATTTATAAAAATAAAACTATACTTAACGAATCCAAGAACAATTCCTAATCGCACTGATCGTATCGTGGAAGTAACGGCCAAGAAAAATAGACAAGGAAGTCGATATCGCGAAAATTTACGCTCGAATCGCCCCGTTGTTCGCCAAGAGCCCGGGCGCTACGACGATTTTCCGCCCAAGAAATTCGCCGCGCGGAAGAATTACAACTCCGATTTTTACTTTCCGTTCCGTTCCGTAGGACGATGACTCGACGGGAAATCCGATGTCGCTCGTTTGTACGTCATCGAGAAACGTCGTAGTCAATTTCTCGCTGGCTCACGAACGAACGTTGCGGCTTGTCACGATCCGGCCTTTTAGATGTTGGCGAACCCGCCGAACGATACATCTCCCGTGATGTCGTAATGAATTACCGAGCGCATATTAGTAGTAACACGAGTTGACAGGTGGACAAACAGCCATTGTGTTAACGGAAATTAAGCAAAGTCTTCCATGTCGCGAAGCATCGCTTTGACAGACGGAACATAAATTTCTTCCGGTAATTTTGTCTTTTGCCACGAGCAAGCTGATTAAACTGGCCGCGCGGGATGGTCGTTTGTATAGTAATACGAACACAATTCTGCTTTGCTGTTTGATGGAACAATTCTCGTTATTTCTGTAAACGTTAGAATTAACTTCATCCCAAGAGTAATAGCTTTTGTACCTCGGTCCCTTGTAAAAGGCACCTAATGTTTCATTAATAATATTCAATTATTTTTTTAAGACGATTAGTAGAATTTTATTCTGGTATCAGAAGTAATTGTTAAATTGTGACACGTGTTAAACAGTTTGTTGCCACTTTTGTAAAAGAAACTGCAGTGTAAACTGTTAATAATAATAATATTAATGCCAGTATTGTAAAGAACCTGTTGAAATTTTCATATAAATTAATACTAAATTTTAATTTACATATATGATAAATTTGCATTTGCATGCAAACAACTGCCATTATGTGAGTAAATTAAGTAACGTTTGAAAATTGAGTGTATTATAGTCTGAAACGTAGACGATACATTCTCCGCGGTGCTGTTTAATTTAGTGGTTCGGCCGACTAGCGTGTCACTCCGTTTCGAATACGAGTAACTAATGACCGCGTGCAGTTGGCTATTAATTAATTAGGGATCTTCCTCGCGTTGTTTTTTCTATTTTATATTTTTGAAACGGACCTCGAAGAAACATTTGTTTCCAGGCGATTGCCCGTTTGCTTTGATTATCCGCTCGTGCTAAATCTTGGCGCGCCATGTGATACATTTCGTACATTTCCTGGGCACATTAACACACGTGCGTTTGTGTCGCTCGGTACTGTAATAAAAATAAAGAAAACCGAAGCGCTATTCGCATTTCAACGGCACTTTAGATCGGACAGAGATTGAAAATGGAGTCTCTTTTTAGTCGCACCTTCTTAAACGACATGTCTACTTTGTATATTGAAATTTTTTCCTTTAAATTGTAACTTTGTAAACTGGAATCACATGTTGGAATTTTACACTTTTTCAGAATATAATTGCCAAGCAAATTTAGAATTTTAATTTATATGGAATATAAATTTGAATAACGAACGTGGTTATTTAAAATGTTCGGATTATAAAGGTCAGCATTTTTACATACAGGACACAAACTATTTCGGTATCTGTCAGGAAACAAGAATAGCTTTATTAAGCAGGGCAGATTGTGTCCCAAGAGACGTTAATGTAACTATTTTTTTTATTTTGTATCGATTTTGTATCGAATCTCTCTACCTTCTCGACGTTTTCACTCTCTCAAAACGAGTCGATTGGTTTTAACGCTCAATTACGTTTCGCGTAAACATTCGAGCGTTGTTAAACAAACTGTTGTTCCCAAGTTGGCGATTAATTTCAATATAAACGTACTCCGCGGATATTCGTCATGCCTTTGTCGAGCGCATCGATATATAATAGCAATCACGCCAGAAGCAACTCTTGAGAAGTTCTGGGATGTAAATCGAAAACCGTTCGCGTTTCCCGACACGAATGGAACAGGAGTTCGCCCGTGACGCGCTTCACTATCCCCCCGGTTAGTGAAGCGCGTAACGAGCAAAGGATTACTAGTCTCTCGGGACAAAAAATAATTTCTTGAATGTGGCCTGTATCAGACTGTTTTTCCTATATCCCTTGTTTCGCCCCTAGGGTGAAAGTTTGCGCGCGATTGTTCGTACGTCACAAAAAAGAAAATTATTTTTGGTTAACACGTGTAGGCGTTTGTTAATGACTTTTACGCACGTGGCTAATTTATAAGAATACCCGATCGGAAACGTACGGTGATTATTATTAATTAGGAAATATATTAATTGGGAAACCAAGCAACGGTTTTTGTTAATACTCGTGTGGATCGTGACGGAACACTCGTAGACTGATGGAGTCTTTCATCATTTGATAAAATTTTCACTTATTGTGTTTTTTTTAATGCTTGTGCGATGTTAATAAATATTACATTTACACACGGAAAAAAACATTTAGCTGCTGT